CAGACTGGTGGAAGGATACAGGTAGTTTTACAGCAGGAGGTGGAGAAAGCCTACCCTACAGAGCCTGTTGGGGTAGTCTGCCTTGTTGATGGAGTCTCTCAGGTGGTAGAATACAGTGAAATCAGCCTGGAGACTGCACAGAAGCAGAGCCCTGATGGGCAACTAGTGTACAGTGCTGGCAACATCTGTAATCACTTCTTCACGCTTGAGTTCCTCAAGACAGTGGTACAGTAAGTTTTGCTAGGCGGCTTCACAAACTAAAAATGTACTAAGCAGGGACTGTCCCAGCCGCTGTGGGTTGTTGGTTTCTGTTACTGGGGGGAAATTGCTCATATTGCTGAAAACAGCTATCTTCTCTTACTAAAGTGTTTAGGATCCTTTTTATGAGGACTGATCAGTGATGAGTTATGCCCTGCTGTGCCAAAAATGAATTTAGTTACACCAAAGGAAGTGTCTAATGTAGATGATCTTAACTATTTCCTGCTCTCTGAGTAGTCAGCCAATGTGAGTTCATTCTAATGATTTCGTATTTTCTTGCCTGAGTGAGTGGGTCTCCTGCTGGAGAGTTGTGGAGTGGAGGTTTAGAACCAGAGAAGTTAGTTCATGCCTTTGTACAGTTCAGTCTCACTCGCATTTAAACAGCATGGTACTGTTACTCTAAGTCTCTCCTGGTGTTTGCCACCATGGTGTGCCCTTTGATTCTGTCCAGTGGGAATCCTGTAGGGCTTGCTGTTTTGGAACAGTGCGTGTTTGGGTGTTACAAGGAAAGAGCAGCGCTTTCTAAGCCCAAAGTGAGTTAATGGTAGCAATACGCTGCCTACTGTTGAGAGCTGGGAATCTCCTTGCTTGTTTATGCGTAAAATACATTAACTTATTTTTATTTCTGTTTCACCCTGGCAGGAAATTTGAGCCCCAGCTGAAGCAGCATGTAGCCATAAAGAAGGTGCCATATGTTGACGAGGAGGGAAATCTGGTAAAGCCGCTAAAACCGAACGGGATAAAGCTGGAGAAGTTTGTGTTTGATGTGTTCCAGTTCTCTAAGTTAGTGGTAGATGTGAATCTTTTCCTTCTCAGTATTGCTTTCCATGACCTTAGATTGTAACATGTATTTATGGGGTGGGCAGACTTTTGAATGCTGACATTATGGGTAACTTATGAAAAGGATGCTAGGCCTGCCTCAAACTGATGCTTGGTGACAATGCTGCCTTGTATTTCAAGGGGCAGGGGTCCCGCACCTGTAAAATTTACTTTGAATACCTGCAAGTTAGCGACTGTGTATTTGGGTGTTGGTGGTTTGGCTGAGTGAGCCTCTGCTTACCTTGTGTCAAGGGAATTCAGGGTGGAGCCTCAATTTAATATTAATCCCATGATGGAGAATTCAAACCCACTGAAGTTGACCTATTCAAAATTGTGGTTCTTGTAGCAACTGTAACTCTGTTACATTCTACATGCATATCAAATCAAGCTTCAGTTAGCATACTATATACAGACATAAAATACATTACTTAAACACCATGTGGCCAAATTACTGTTGCTGTATGAACTGTAAATTTTGCATTGCCTGACTTTTTAAGGCATGTCAGAGATCTATCTTACTATGCCACTAACACAACCTGTGGTGCCTTTATTTAAGGGGTGCTGCATTTAATAGCTTAATGATTTAGCGTGATTTCTATACTTTAGAATTTAAACCTTGCTTTCCTGGGTCTAGAATTGGACAGCAAAGATTCACCAGGTTGAAACATAAGCATAAAGCAGCATCAGCTGGAGTGTGATATCATTCTCTTTGGGGGTTTTACATCTTCCATTTTTAAATGGATTGAATTCAGGATTGAGCAGCTTAAAAACTGATTCTGCCCTCGGACCAAAAACAAAACCAAACCTCGAAAAAGCTTTCTAAACATGTATCTTACATCTGCTTTACTGCTGCACTGCCCAGCCCTGATGAGGAACCCTACAGTAACTTAGCAGGAGACCAAGAAAGCAAAATCATTTGGTGTCAAAAGCAGATATAAGCTTTAGGTTTTGAAATGGTAATTACAGCGGTGACTCTTTTTTTAACAATGATGGCAACTGACACTGCTGGATGCATTTCACATTTGAAATGCAAAAACATGCAGTTGCTGCCCCTGCTTGCCTTCCCATGACTGAAAAACAGCTATTTATAAAATGTGACTAAATCTGGCGGAGGGAAGAGGGGGGGTTTCTATAAGCGGTATTCATGAAACTGAACTTGGCCCCTGTCCCATGGGATCCCTGATTTAACATCCATTTGTGGGATAGAAAACTGAAGCTCAGAGCTGCACTTTTTTATTTGTAACAAACTTTCATATGGGTTGATCACAGACAGTGGAGCAGGGCCTTCCCTTTCTAGCTTTTAGGCCCTGTTGGTGCCTCAGTTTCCCTCTGCTTATGCCCCACCTTTACTTTTTGCTGTCTTAGCTGGAGCTTTTCACTCAACAGGCTCCTTTGCCCCAAAGGTCTCTTTCTTCTTGGCTTTCTGCTTGGGACCTCTGGAGAATTGTCACATGCCTTCTTCTTAGCAAGCTTCCTCTGCAGACTCCTCCAGTTCCCTGCCAGGCTGGGTTTCTCAGCCCATGTCCCCATGGACCTGATCTTTATACTCCTTTGCTTTCCACATAGGGAAGTAAGCTTAGCCTGGTTTAATTCTGCTGTGGGCTCTGCTACATTAGTGTTGTCTAGGATATACAGCATCCCCTATGGGACGTGCCTTTACTGTCAAGAGGAACCTAAGCTAAGGCATTTTTTTTTTCTTTCTTTACTGCTTGCTGACAGGAACTTTGTTGCATTTGAAGTTTTGAGGGAAGAAGAGTTCTCCCCATTAAAAAATGCAGATACAGGTGACAAAGATACTCCTACCACAGCTCGGAGAGCCCTCCTGTCCCAGCATTACCGCTGGGCTCTGAAGGCTGGAGCCAGCTTCCTGGATGAAAATGGCTGCAGGATTCCAGAGAAAATCAGGTAAACACGTCTAGTCAGGTATTTGCTTCGTTCCAGTCACTGCCGACTCTTGGCTGGCTTCCGGCATGTCCGCTGGTACAGAGAATTTGTGACTTCCTCAGTCAGTATTTCTGGTGGTGACTGGCACAGTTCCTCTTCTGCAACAGGCCTTTCATTGACACGCTGCTTGTGATCAGTATCTACAACTGCTCCTGGTGCATTAATGATCATACATTGTGTAAATTGCCGCAGGCTTTCCCTGGGGGCACAGCGTATTCTGCATGTAGGTAGCACATCTGCATGTTCACGGATACAGGTTTACCACCTGGCAGTCACTTCAGCAGAGGCAATGTCCACCAATAAAATAAGACTCTAGAAGCTTGAAGGGGTTGTAACTTGAGTTGTGCCAAAGTGGTGTTGGGAGTGGTGCATCTCCAAATATTGGAAGTACAGCCTGGTGCCGAGTTATCTAACCTCTCTGTTCCCACAGAGCTCTGGCAGGGCTTAATGCTGTTCCCTATGATGGAAGCACTGACAAGAGAAAGCAGTAGCAAAAATATTCTCTGTCTCTGAGTCACTCCTCTTCTTGGCAGGAAGGACTTGGCCAGCTTGAGAAGGTGTAACTTACAGCTTGTCTGAATATAGATCCTGTGCTCATAGATGAATAGAAAACCTCTTGTTCTCCTGGGCACCGACATTTGTCATTCTATAGGAAACCCTGTCCCAGATGCTTTCTTTGTCATGCTTAATTCCCAGAGATCTTTTACCCTGAGTAGGGCTTCTGCCTTATAGCTCAGTAAAACTAAAACCGTTGGTCTCTGCTGAAAAGCGCTTCCTAGAAATCTTCATGAAGTTTTTGGTGTGAAGTAACTAGGAAATGTTAACTCCTTTTTTTTACCACAATCCAGGTTCAAACAGTTTCTGGGGTAGGGGATCATAAACTCTCTTCTCTTTTTGGTGATATGTCCTGTTTTTTGAGTTTCTATGGGAAAGCTGTCATTTTACAAGCATGTAAAGAGTGGATTTAATCCTGTTCTGTTCTTTAGTTTATCAGGAACTGAAGACCCTCCTGCTGTATGTGAAATTTCTCCATTGGTGTCTTATTTTGGAGAGGTGAGACTAATTGTCTAAGCAGATATTTTTATGTACCTGGAGTGCAGAACCTCTGAGTCCTGTCAGTATAGTTTTGTCAAGGCACATAATCTCTGTGTCTTAGTTTTGCTATGAAATGACACTTGTAATAGTTGCCCACTTCTTAGTGGGGCTGTTCAACCTCATTAAGATTCAAAAATGCTTTGAGGCCTCCTGAAAAACAGGTCTATTGTAGTGGAATAGATCATCATGATAGATAAAACCCTGGGGCCAAATGCAAAAGTGGTGTAAGTCCATACACATTTAGAGCAGTAGGGGATCTCTTCTAGAGCAAGCAAGCACTAAACACTCAAAGCTAGGTACCTGCTCTACCCTTTTGGGGACCAGATTTCAGAAGAAATCTCTGGAATTTTGCCTGGGGAACAAAGTTGTCATGACAGATCTTCCTTTGTGCAGGCGAAGAGAGTTTTTCTTGTTGCTGGACTCACAGAGCCCCACAGGCAGAGGCTTCCTTTTCATGTTAGGAGCCAGGCGCATGGTGTGAAGGAAAGCAAAGAATGATATTTCTTAGTGAATAAGGGCAGACCATGTAGTGTACAGCCTCACCTGGGCCAGGTAGGGTGGGGAGGAACGGCCCCATGAGAACTGCAGAGGGTGACTTAGATATCAACAGTGAGAACACAGATGTATTTGGAAGGTTTTCTTATACTCTGAGGCCTTATCTTCATCAGATGTGCTGTTAACTCTCGGTAGCTAACACATGGCAGTTGGGTAGAGGCATAATCTTAGCACAGACAAGGCAGTTTGGAGTTTTAATTCATGGTGGTAGGCTTTCACATAATTATCTTCCCTTTCTCCAGTAGTTTCCATGTGTCAACTGACATGAGTTAACAACACTGTTTTCTTTCCCCAGCGAAAATGCATGCTTAGACATCTGTTGCACAGGGGTTTGCTTCTGCCACTTGCACTTGCTCTATTGAGAGCCTTGTAGCTAAAAACCATCTGCATCTCTTTCTAAATACAGGGTCAATATTTCAGTGCATCACTGAAGCTTGTGCTATTCATGGCTGTACTTGTCTTAATCTGTAAACAAAAGATCTTAACCTGCTGAGGTGTCAGCTACCCTTCCCCAGCAATACCAGCTTTTAATTTTGGCAAATGTAACTGTGTTTGATGCATCTACAAGCTAACTGTATTTTTTCACACATTTGCAGGGGCTGGAAACATACATGAAGAATAAAGACATCTCTTCACCCTTTATACTTGATGAGAGAAAAACAGAAATGCCAGAAAACTCTTGAATAAGGGGAAAACCTGGAACCAGTACATATGACCATCAGCTCCATGATGGGAACAGGCACTAATTAAACATTGGCTTTACTATTAAAATGCTATCAATAATTAGATTGCATTATCAGGTTGATGCCAAAAGCCAGTAGTGAGTATGTTTACAGGTAGAAAAATACTCCAATGCTGTTTGATAACTTCAGAAGTTACATCCTTCCTCACTGTTGTTTGGAGGTTCAGGTATGAATGATACTTGTATTTGTTAATCCGGTTACTAAATAGGCTTTATTTCTGCAATCAAAACTGTTATCCTTTTAGTTTCTAAGTTATACAGATAAATGATAAGAGCCAATTGGGACCAAAACAGTTTTGCATGTCACATAATTAGATTAATTAAACTGTAATTCTCACTAGATGTTTTTTATTTTCATTGATGTTAATGCAGGAATGTGAGAGAGATTAATTTGAGGCCCAGGCCCATAAAATGCTGAATACACAACTACAATTATTTCTTCCAGAGTCCATGCCCCTTTTGTCCTAGCTCTGTCTTGGCAGCTAGTCCTGTATTTGCTCTGATTAGAGAGTTCATTCGGATGATGAATGGTGCTCGCCCAGGTAACGCCATTTTATAGATTTCTGACTTCAGTGGGGCTTTATCTGAGAATAAGCATGACTCAGCACTCAGGTTGTAGAATCAAGATTAAAAGACTTGCACCTTTAAGTCCAGCTGTGGATTGGTTGGATTTTAAATTGTGTTGGTCTAGTTTTTAAAAAGAATCATCAGAAATACTTCATGTTAACATTATCTTCCTTCTGTCCTGGGAGATGCTATTTTTTATTTTGCTGTCTAAGTTTTTATAACATGCTTCTCACTTTTAGACTTTTTATAAGTGTCTTAAAGCAATAAATGGCGTTAATCCAGGGGGGTAGGATTGAATGCTCTAAAGTAAAAAGACATTTAATCTTACCATGAATGGTATAAGCCATAAAAAACCAGGATGTGCCTTTGTAACCAGTGGGCAGGGTTGGTATCCAGCATTCCTGCACCTCTCGAAGCATTGCATTCCTCTTACTTTCATAATTGTCTTCATTTCTTAAAGTTTATTTTTCAAGTTTGTTGAGCTGAACCTGCCAGATTGTTATCCAGAGATATTATCAGAATTATATGCAACAGACGGACCTCAGTCCTGGCATAGAAAGCACACATCTAGTTGAGAGAAGAATTCATTCTTCATGTACTGTGCAATCTTTGGCCTTTTTGACTGTGGGTGTGTGTATTTTGTGATGTGAATACCTGTCAGATACAAAAACTTGATTGAGGTGGTCACATTCATTTTACCTGGTTATAAAAAGAAAATGATGGTCTCTCAACCAAATCCTTTCCTCCCTCGATATTGTTCTGCAGGTAGTCAAGAGTCTTTTTTTTTTTTTTTTCTTTCTTTCTTCCAAACAGCTGTCTTTTTACAACTAAAGAAGGTATTTGGCCATATGTTTTGTTTGGATTTTGGTATTTCAGCTGTTCTTACCGATAGACATTGCACCTAAATTATTAAGAATAAACTTTTTTATAAAGTAAGATTGAGGTGAATTTGGTGAAATATAAGAAGGGCCTCTTATGATAACTGTTTTTACCACAGGCTCATAGTTTTGAAAGAAATCATCTACATTTCAGCTGCAAAATTTGCTTGCGTATGAGCTGTATCGGCATAGGTGTAGACAAATAGCTATTTGCACATGGAGAGAAGCTAATCACACTTCTGATTAATCTGCTTGGATGTGAAACTGTTAATTATAAAAGATTGTCAGGGTAAATTGTAGACTGAATTGTCAAAGGCAAATACTGAATGTCTGTTGCATAATTTTCCTGTGATGATTCCATTTCAGTCAGTTGAGTTAGTGAATGAAATCTGGGGGTAATCACACAGTATCTTTATGATTAATTTCTTGTTAATTCTTGCACAAGTTTATTTTAAGCTATATTCTGCCTTAATGAAAGAGAACTTGTCCTGCATCCTTGTGTGCATTTGCCAAAAGGGTACGTTCTCTTTGGAGCCCGAATTGCCATTTAGCCCAACACTTTCATCTCATGAATGTATAGCTGCTTACGTGTTTTTTATCATGCATTTTCCAGTAGGAGTTGACTGTTCTTTCATGTATTTCAAACTGAAATATTAAAAGGGATTTTAAAGGACCTTTAAAAATACTAAATACATATCATTTATCATGTGTTTGGTAAAATGATTCCAGCTTCTATTCTGAATGACTTTTTTTATAAAGCAAAAGGAGATCCCTCTTGTGGGTCTCCCAAAGTTTTCTCGAATACATTTCTCTAATAAAGATACTGTGCAACTTCTAATTCATCTCTATTTCTTTCATGTGCGTTAATGAGCTGGTTCTTTGTTGTTGCACAGTTATGAGTGTATCCACTGCAATTACGGAAATCTGACATAGTGCTGCTGAAGAACTGTTACAAATGCGGGTAATACTGTAAGCTCTCCCAAGATCCAAATATATGAGGACTCAAAAATGGGACATGAGAGAACATAATACGGGAAGATGTTTGACATTGTGGGAAGTATTTTCCAACACAACACTTTTTCATCACCTCCATTTTCAGACTTGTTAGCTCTAATTTTCCATGGGCTAACAGACTTAATGTGGGATGAGGTTAAATTTGGGTCTAAAATGAATGGTGTGCCTCTTTATTAAAATACACTTCAGTGGTATGGCTCTGAGTCAGTGTTTCACAGCTGTTGTTTATACAGCAGTGTACCACAAGGTGTCAAGTGGAATCATACTTTTACTATATCACAGATCAGCAATCACTTTTAAAGAAAATGGTGGCTCTATGGAACAAAACTGTAGAAAAGCCCTAGTGTTTCTATACAAGGGTGAGCTGGGTGGCTTTTCCATGGAATTGCTTGCATTTAATGCTTTAGTGAGTCACTCTTTCAGATTGTTCAAAGAGCAGAGCGTGTTCCCCCACCCACAGAACTTGTTCCTTCTTATACCCACCAGTGCTTGCAAAACAAGCAGTGTTGTTAAGCTGCTTGAATTAATGATGAGAAGCAAGGTTTGTTTGGTGATATTGCTCTTTTTTATTGGGCCAGCTGGAAGAGATGTTAGACAAGCTTGCAGTTACAGGATGCCCCTTCCTCTGTTCTGGGAAAGGAACAGGAGCAGCTTCATACACCCCTTGCTGTGTCACTACCAAATACAGCGTAAGTAAAGTTAATGTTAGTCTTCTTGTGAGCCTAGTTTTCTTTGCTCTCTTTCTGGATGGAGTGAGGATGAATATACCCTGCTCCCTTTCTCTGAGCTGTCCTGTGATTTTTCTGCTCGCTCCAAATCCTAGTATGATATTAGCTTTGTGGGATGGGGCTCGCTTGTGAGCATGGATTGACCTAGGACTTCGAAAAGGGGGTTGCAAATGGTGTGGTGCATCACTGCATATAACACAAAACATTTTCTTCCAGTTAAGAAACTGGAAACTTCACTAAAAGCAGGGGCCTAAATCTCAAGTACTCAATTTAAGACTGAAGGAAAACAACAAAACCAAACCAGACACTTTATTGGAATATGCATTAATTTGCTATGTAGTAGATTACATATAAAACACAACAAACAAAAATAATCCAAAGATGTTGTTTCATTAGTCCTGGAGTCATTGTAGTTCATTCCAGATGCATAACACCAAATCAAGCCCTGAGCATCTGGAGAGTGCCTCCAGTGCTTCACTGCAAGTGCTTTCCACCCGAATTAATGTTCACCTCAGCTAATACTGCCACACTGGAGTTAAAGTTTTTAGCTAGCATTAAAAAACAGACTGCAGGGCTGTGAAATATATTACTAGAAGCAGTGAACAGCAGCATGGAAGAAGGAAGGATTGCTGGAGATACTAGGAAAGACTTTCACCTGGGAAGGGAGGGCAGTAAAGCACAGGAACGGGCTGCAAGGAAGGCTGTGGGGTTTCCACCCTGGAGGTTTTTAAGACTGGGGTAGACAAAGCCTGGGATGATCTAGCTGGAGATGGTCCTGTTTTGAGCAGGTGGTTGCACTAGATGTGACCCCCTGAGGTTCCTCTCAATCTGAGTTTTTTTTATGATTTATGAGTAGTGGAACCATTAAAGACCATTTAAGAGGGGAGAGGGTCATTAACACAGGTGGGGTTGAGAAGGGATCAGGTAGATCCCATGAACTATGAAGTCGGTGGACTCCCTCGGTGCTGTCTGATTAGATGGGTGGCTGCCACTGCCAGGCAAGTGGCTCTAAACCAGCAGTTCCCAAACTGTGGGTCGTGACCCCAAATGGGGTTGTAACATCAGCAGATGGGGCCCAGGGGCGGGGGGCTGTGGGTTGGGAGCAAGGGGCCATGTTGGGGTAATGGGGTCATAAATGCGGTCATGCTGAGGAAAAGTTTGGGAAGCACGGCTCTGAACTGCGGGTGGAGCAGGAATCACAGTGGGGAGCAAGGGCATCACTGTCCCCTTGCCCCCGCATCCACCCTGCGCATGGGCAGGTGAAGGGAGCAGGGGGTGGCTGGGGCTTTCCTGCCAGCGATGGAGACGGGTGGGGCTCGGCAGTGTCCGAAAGCAGGGCAGCGCGTAAGGCAGAGCATCCTCGCGCTGCATGTGGTATCTGGCCGCCTCATGCCTGCCGAGCTGCATCAGCACAAGCAGCTTCTATGTTGCCCAGTGGACACAGCTATGCATTTATTAATGGACCCTAATTACTGTGCATGTACTTTATTACTTGTTTAATGAAGTACTAACTCAATATGCAGTAACTAGAGTTACTGCGCAGTAGTGCCAGTGCGCATTTTCATCGCTTACTGCTGAATAACACGACGCAGGAGGCTATTAGCAGGGATCCTGCTTTTCTCTGAAAAAAAAAAATCCCCAGTTTTTAGATTTGAAAAAATAACCTCAACTCCACATTTTCCCATGATTTAAATGAAACACGGCTCTATATAAGTCTCTATATTGATGCACCATTACACTATAAAGACCTATATAGAGCCGTGTTTCATTTAAATCATGGAAAAATGTGGATTTGGGGTGCCTTTTTTAATCTGAAAATTGGGGATTTTTCTTGTTTTTAATCAGAGAAAACCAGACCCCGCGCTATTCGCACGGCTTTTAACGCCGTCTTCATCCGTCTGAGCGAGTCGTTGCCCCCTCCCCCCGTTGCTAGGACACACCGGCAGGAGGCTGTTGCTAGGGGCGCTATAGAGTTCCGGAAGCGGGGAGGCCAGAGCGGCACTCGGAAGCGGCAGGTTTGTCCCGGCTCTCGGGCTGGGCGCTGGAGGATAATGGCGACGGGCGCGGGCCCCTGAACCCGCCACCATGTACTCGGCGGTGCCTGCTCCGCAGAGACGGGACTTCATCTCGGTGACGCTGAGCCCCGGCGAGGCGGCGGGTGCGGGCGGCTACAACAACAGCAAGGCCTGGCGGCGCCGCTCATGCTGGAGGGTGAGAGCGGCGCCCCCTGGCGGCCGGGGGCCCTGCCCGAGGGGAGGCTGTGTCCTGGGGACCCAGCACGTTTCTACGTCCCTTGGTCCTGCCTGGGCTGGGCAGGGCAGGGGGATGCTAGTGACTGAGCCTGGGGGAGGTCCCCGCGACCAGTTACATTTATTGCGCAGCACATGGGCAAATCGCGCAATAAATGTAACCTGGCCCCACGCACAAAGGATTTGGCAGAGCCGTGTGCGACACTCCAGCTGTCGGAAGGGCCGAGCAGCTGCAACATGTGGGCCTGAGGGGTGCGAGGGCTCCTTTGGCTCTTGTCTGGGAGGGATCTCTTCTTCCTGGTAAGGAGTGGGCGCTGTCTTGTCAGGAGAGGTTGGGGCTGAGGCTCCAGGCACTGTACTGATGTGAATTTTCAGTGGGGTATTTGCAGCTGGCGGTTGGTTGCCTGGAGCAGCTGGGCTTTTCTCCCCACTGGGAAGGTGAAGTCTGTGGGGAGCATCATGGGGCAGAAGAGCAGATGGGAAACCAAGGAATGTGCCCAGGTGGTGCTTTGTGGCAGGGAGGGGAAGGTTTCCCAGTGCAGAGGCCAACTGCTGCCTTGTCATTTTCTGCCCTGGCAGGTAACTAAACAGGGGCGGGTTTCAAGATAAGGCTGGTGAAGGATTTCTGAACTGTATAGAGCCCCGTGTGCTGTGGCTGACTGCAGCTTGCTGAGGATCCTTGTTAGAAGGCAGTCTTTTATTGCATTAGGGCTTACAGTTTGATAAGATTTCTGCTTGCTGCAAATACTTGCCCTTAATTGTAAAAATAAGTAGTATTTCCCAAGGGTAGTTTTGCAGGCATAGTGCTTCTTGTCTTCTAGTTCTGTGGCTGGTTTGGTTCTGTTTTACGTGGCTGAAGCTTTGTGGCTGTTTCTGCTGCTTTTTTGTGGCAGCCTGTGTTTCACATAACAGCTTCACAAAAGGTGATTGTTAGTGGCTGGTGCCTTTCTGTCCAGCTTAAGTTGCATCTTCTTATTTGGACCCATCTGACTTTCATGCACTTAATATTTTTTTCTCCCTTTTTCCCCCCCTTCCACTTTCCTTATTCCTTGCTTCCACTTTGCATGTCCCTCTTGTTGCACCCTGCTGGACAGAAAGGAAGAGTCTCTTGGCTCTTTCCCAAATTGACATCTGGGCAGATGCACAGATCAGCCAACAAAAGGTTGCTCTAAAAATCAGCATACTGTAGCTGATGTTCTCTCCGGGAGACTTTGCGTGTTGCAGTTTCTTACTCTTGATTGACTTTGGCAGTGAGTGGCCCCAATATTATTTTTGAATGTCCTCTGCCATGTTGACATATTACATGCATCCTCCACATCTGCAAAGAAAGTAAGTGATGGATGTGCAAAGTAAGAAACAGGGTAAAACCTACACTTGAGTTCTTTCAGAGCAAGGAATACAAAATAATTAGGTGGGTTTATCTGTGACTGTAGGGGTCTAGTTTTCTCCATGTCATGCTAAAAATTCTTCTTCCTCATATTTATTTTCTTTTTTAAAGAAATGGAAGCAGCTGTCTCGACTACAGCGGAGTGTAATTCTCTTCCTGTTTGCCTTCTTGGCAGTCTGTGGAGTCATTTCATATACAAACATGGGGGAACAGTGGAAAAGTATGTGTTCCATAAAGCTCCAGATTTACCTTTATACATGCTATAATAGTTGATAAATTGCATATTTGTAGTTTTTGTAAATGGGTCTTTCTGTTAAACATTGAGCAGAGCTTGTCAAAATTAATCAGTTAAAGTGTATAGCACATTAACTTAATGGAAGTGTTCAGTTAGAAACAAGCCTCTATCATCTCCTATACCCTGACAGTATAAAATCTTTAAATAAATGAACAAAAACAG